CCTGCTAAGAATCCCGTGTGAGTTTCCTGTGGCTGCCCTAAGAAAGTACCAAAAGCCGCAAGGCTTAAAACAACAGAAATTTGCTGTCTCATAGTTCTGGAGGCCAGAAGCCTAAAATCGAGATGTCTGCAGGGCCCTGCTCAATCGGAAATCTGTTGAGGAGAATCCTTCCTTGTCTCTTCCTAGCTTCTGGTGGTTAGCTGGCAACCCATGGTCTTCCTCAGCTTGCAGCTGGAGCCCTTTGACCTTCACCTTCATAGTCACGTGATGTTCTCCATGTGTGTCCACCCCTTCACATGGCATTCTCTGTCTCTCTTCTTGCAAGGACACTTACTCCAGTACAACCTCATTTTAGCTCACTTCTTAATTACTGCTTCTGCAAAGACCCCATTTCCAAATAAGGTCACGTCCCCAGGTCCCGGGGATCAGACGTCAATGGATCTTTCTTGAGGACGCAATAAATCCCCATCTTAGAAACTAACTCTTCCTCTCAAATCACTCTCCACATACTCCCGTCACCCCAACTTGCTCCCCTCTCCATCCTTACTCATTTAAGAGTCCTTACAGCAATGGGCCAGAAGGGCAACCTCCAAGAGCCTGGAATTCGAAAGGCCTGTTTCCATTGCCTAGAAGGTTCCAAGGAAAGGACATTTTTATTCTAGGTGCTGAAATTCCAAAAAGAGATATGCCATGAGGGAATCCAAATGCAAATTCTGAATGTAGGTTTTTTTTTTTTTTTAAATAGAGGAATTATTATAAATTGTGGTGAAGGTCGTTAAGTTTATTAAATTAAAGATTAAGTAAGATGCTACTAGTTGGCATAACAACGGAAATGTCATAAATACCACTGTTCATAGAGGAACTGGCATCCAGAGTTTCAAAAAATAATCTGACAAAGGAACCTTGAGAATATAACCATTTGTAAGCAACGGATTGCCTGTATTTCAAAAAAATGCTAACAAAATAGCACAGAGATCATGCAAATGCTCTCTCCCAGTGGAGGCATCTTCAAGCGGAGGCCGAAAAGTTTCAGGGAACTGATAGGGAAAAAAGCCAAGTTCATGTTTCTCACACTAGAGTCTACGTGTCCTGAGATGTTTTTAACTTTTGTATTTTTATTTTGATAAAATGTAAAAATCTATATGAATATTCTGGATCATCTACACGTGTACCTTAGAAATGAGTGATGGCACACAATTCAGTGCTCCATTAGCATTATGAAGGTGGCCAGAAATTCCCTAAAATGACAATGCTTAATTTTTAATGTCTTGGAAGCATGTCTGGCTGCTCTTAGGTTGGCATATCCTAAAATCATAATGATAATTATGACTCAAGCACTCTTGTATTCTTGTTGTGTTTTTTAATCGGTTACAAAGATAACATTCATCTTTTGCAGGAACAATCTACAAGTGAAAGATATCTGCATGGAAAAATTTTTAAGAACTGAGACTTTTATCTGACATTCTGAAAATGACAGTGTGGCAGAATAACATGAACACATACATTATCTCATGCTAAGGAGACTATAATCTTCAAAGATGTGTTTGTACCAAGTGGGAACCAAATGATACCATAATGTGCTGTATAAATAAAGGTTGCACAACTGTTGAAACAGAAAAAAAGTGGAAGAATTAACTCCTTATGTAGCACATGGTAACAGTCCATACGAAATAAAAAGAAAGTATTCTGTATCACTATATTATTGCAAGGGGATGTATTATGCTAATCCCTGCAACAGTTCATGAGCTGAATGTTTCATAGGAAATATACACGGGTATTAGTTTTTTTTCCACCCTTGAATCATGGGGTATACTATTAAATTGGCCCATTGAATTAAATGAGGCGGGGGTCAGATGCAAGGTGGTCAGGAAAGGGAACTCATTTTAAGAGGGAACTATGGAACAAGAGAAGACACAGGAATGAGAACAAGCTAGGGAAGGTACATAAACTAGCCTGACGAAATGGAATGGTCCACGTTTGGTGAATGATGAGATTTAAGGATGTCTAATAGCCTTATATAAAGAAGGCCTTGTATAAATTAGGTAATTTGGATTGGATCAAATAGTTTTTCTATTTCATGTTTTGCTTTTAAATGTACTATAAATGATAGATAATTTTATACTCAGTAGAACCTGGCAAGAAGAATATTTTGATTACCAACTATCTCCCTGAGTAAGACAGAGAGAGCAGTTGAGCTGAGAGTATTCCAATCCCCGAGTCTTCTGTCTGGGCCTTAGGAGGAAATAAGCCAACGACGGATAAACCACAAATTCTGATGTAATAACTGTGGCGGACAGAGAAGAATGCAGAACAAACATTAATGTGACAGAGGAGAAGAGGTGTTTATGAAAAGCCTTAAGTCTGGTCACAGATTAAGACTATTTTGTTGGTATTATAAAAATTCTTTTAGGGTGATGTTCTTTTCTGAGACCCAACCCAATCTCTCTGGCTTTCTCAGAATAGGAGCTTACCCTGTCAAGCCAACCCCCTGTTTTATTTTACATTAACCACAACCATATGTGATGATCTTGATCCTTCCTGTTTGCTCCCACACACGAACATGTAAGCCACTGAGTACTGATGTCCTATGTGTTGTTTCCAGCTACATCCCTTGCACTTAGAAATGAGTGTCTGGCACATAGTAGATGTTCGATAAACATCTACTAAATATGTAAGTGGGTATGCTCTCAGCCACAGCTATTCCTAGGGAGAGAATGTCCTAAACATGACAGTATCCTCTGGGTTCCAGGGTGGGACAATGAAGGTGCAGGTCGTTGAGAGCAATTAAGAAGACAGAAAAGGGTCTGATAATTGACTGTGAGAGTTACGGTAGAGAGAGATAACAAAGCATGTACCAAAGACTCTATTACATGGTCAGAGTTTGTTAAATATTGGCCAATAACAATAATGACATCATACAGCTCTAACGCCGAGAAAATAGGTCTGGGCGGAGATAAGAGTTCTTACCCGAACCCAGGAAGAAACCTGTCAACAATGAGCAGTGGAGGAAGGGCATGCAGAGGACTAGAACCCCTGGTAGAGGTTCACAAGGAGGTGAAGCAAAAAGTGACGTCACCGAAACAAGGGCGTGGAGAGTTTTCAGAAGACTCAAGAGATATCATGAGACTCAAATGCTACAGAAAGGTCTTGCAGAAGGCGAGCTGAGGGAAAGTTAACATTTTTTTTCCCTTCTGTAACAACTTAAGTGACGCACTCACGCTCTTTAACTCGAGGCCATTTCAGCGGCAGAAAAGGCACTTCGTCCAAATGGACATGCCCGACAATTCGAACTGTTGACACTAGAGAAGCCAGTCACCCTTGCACTGCCTGCTCGTCCCACCGGTGTACGTTCCGGTAGACACCTGTGCCCTCCCTCCGCCGTCGTTTCCCCGCCTTCCGCCGAGCGCGCCCCGCTCCATTTACCTGTCCGAGCACCCTCTCAGAGCGCGCGGGCTCAAGAACGAGGGGCGCGGGTCACCCCGGCGTTGCCCACCGCCCGCTCCCAGAGAAGGCTGGGACCGGACACCGCGGGCTTCCGGGTACAGAGCGCCGCCCGCGCGTGGCCTCCTGGGAATGTGAGCGCTCCTCCAATGGGAGCGACGGAGGGGAAGGGCCTGTGCGTTCTCAGCCGTCGCATTTCCTAGGGGCCGCACTGCATTCTGGGAGTGGTAGTTCCTACTGGCCTACGCTGAGACTGTCATTCGTTCAGTCAACAGCTGTAAACGTTAAGCGCTGTTCCATGGAGAAAATGAGAGGATGCAGGGCCACAGAGGCTACTGGCATTGAGTCGGCAGGATAGATGAAGAGCTGATCTTCCCCCACCATCTCCCCGTTTAGTCTCAGCAGGTTACATCACCTGTTACTTCACAGACAAAATAGAATTCATCCGATAGGACTTCCTTCTACTTCGCCATGAAAATTGCTAACCTCATTGGACCCCTCAGCAGTCTTTTCTCCCATTCTTTTGCAATAACAACAACAGCTACTACTATTGCTACTACTGCTACTACTACTCTACTTTGATCTAAGTTCCCCCATCTGCTTTACATCACCATTCCCTCTTGCTGACTCTGAGACTAGCTCCACTGATAAACATTTCTGTCTCCGGATTCGTCAATGGCTCCCTACTTATTCGCTCTTCATTAACAGCATTTAAAGATTGTCAAAGTTTCTATCATCTAAAATATTCCAGAATCACCTTTCTCAACCCCACACCTCCCAAATCCCTCACCACGTACAGACTTAGCCTTGTAGTCTTTCTTCCACCTTTCCTTTCCAGTCAAAAATCTCAACAGTGTTGCTAAAACAAATGGACACTTTCGACCATTTCCATATTTCTATTCTGCAGGATTTTACATTGATTATTCCCCTCCTTCTTGAAACCTTCTGCCTTAGTCTGGGCTGCTTTAACAAAATAACATGGACTGGATGGCTTAGACAACAGAAATTTATTTCTCGCACTTCTGGAGGCCAGGACGTTCTAGATCCGGGTGCCATTATGGTCAGCTTCTGGTAAGGACCTGCTTCCTGGCTTGCAGATTGCTGCATTCTTGCTGTATCCTCACAAGGTGGAGAAACATCATTTCTTTCACATCTCTTATAAGGGCACTAATCCCGGTCATGAGGGCTCCATCTTCGTGACCTAATTACCTCCCAAAGGTCCTACTTCCAAATACCATCACTTGAGGATCAGGGCTCAAAAATGCAAATTTGGGCAGGGAGCACAATTATTCACATCATAGCATCCTCTAGTCTCTTAGCTCTTTCTAAGATGTTGCACTCTACTGGTTCTCCACTTCTGTGACAGATTTCCTTTGAAGTGTTCATGTTCCATAGGACTCTGCCCTAGATTCTCTTCTTTTCTTATTCTTCACACTTTTCTTGGGCGACCTGAACCATTACCATTGCTTTGGTTGTCATCAATATGCTGATTATTCCCACATATAGGAAGCCCAGACAGGACTACTGTAACTCAGACTGAAATAGCTAATGACAGCTGGGCATCTCTTGCAGGCACCTAAAAGTTAATGTAGTACTCAGTTGGCCTAATATAGTTCTACTCTTCCCTCTTCCAAAATCTGCTCCTCTTTCTGTAATCCCATTTCGGTGACTGGCACAACCATGCAATCAGTTGTCCAGACTGGGAAACTGGGTATCAATTTGAATGCTTTTTCTCCCTCAGTGCTCACATCCAAACAATCACCAGGCTATATTAATTCTATCTTCCAAAATATTTCACTTGTTAAGCTTCAGTTTTCTCATCTTTAAAATGAAGATAATAGTAGTACCTATATTCAAGGATCGTTGCAATGATCGATAAACAATAGCACCAGGCAGAGAGTAAGCACGCAAGGATAGTAGGTATTTATTGAGCAAGCATTGTGTTTGTCACCAGTTCTCCTTCATTGGGTCTAACACAACGATAGCTAGCATTTACTTTATTTAGTTTACATTTAGAGAAAAAAGAGAAAAACAAGAAATGATGAGATATTTCGTGCAAGTTACCCCCACTCCATTCCTAGGTATTTTTCCCAGCATGACAAAACTATAGGAATGATCATGAGGCACTATACACATGGTTCTACTCTGATATGTGCAGGGTATACTATACCTTAGTTATTGTTATCTGCTCTGGATGGGCCACAGAGAAACTGAAGTACATTCAGAGACTCGTGACCAAAATGATCTGGGCACTAGAAATTGGAATTAACGTCTCTGTACCCACTGTATCTCTTTTACCACCCCTGCCTTGTCACTTGAGATGGTAGGTATGTAAAACTAAACCTAATCGCTTCAAAATTCTACTTAAAACCTTCTTTGGCTCCCCATTATATAGAGCATAGAATTTAAGATTCGAGGCTCTCCATGAAACAACCTCTCTCTACCTCTCCTGCTTTATATTCTACTTCTCCCGTCAACACACCCTGTGTTCAAGCCTGCTCCTGTAGGTGGCATTCATTCATTCACCCTTCCATCCATTCATTCCTTCAACAAATGCCTACTATGAGCCAGGACTGTTCTGGATACTGGAGATATAGTAGTGAGCAAGACAGACAATGTCCTTGCTTACACGGAGTTAGCACTTCAATACTATGTTCTTTCATGCCTTGGTGCCTTTGCACATGCTGACTCCCTGCCTAAATCGTATTTATTCTTCAAGATGGATCTCAAATATCACGTTTTCATTTTCTAGCAAAGTGTATGCTTCTTTTTTCAACCTCATCCACCCTCTAGAAAGGTTTACTTTTCACATTAATATTAATTTATTTTTACTCAATACCTATTCTTTGAGAGACAGCATAGTATCTTAGAAAGAGAATGTGTTTTGGAGCCTAAATGACTTCATATTCTCTCCTAAAGTAATATCATTTGTGCTCCAAAATTTGTATCTCTAGCATAAGCCTTTACACTGGGAACTCAGAGAAGGTCTCTCTGAGGAGGTAACATTCAAGCTGAAACCCGAAGGTCAAGGAGGAATAAGCCACGAGAAGATGAGAGGGAGCAGAAATAAAGCCAGAGTGACTGACGGTGGCGGAAATAAGGGGAGAATGGTAAGAGAAGAGGTCACACTAGCCTTCTTTCTGTTCCTCAAATATGCCAAGCTCCTCACCATCTTATGATCTTTGTACTAGCTGCCTCTGCTTAGAGTTCTGTTCCCTCTTATCTTCTTGTGGCCAGAGGGCCTTCTTGCAAAGCTGTGTAAGCTAGGGGAAGGACTTTGGATTTTTTTCTAAGCGTAATGGGAAATCATTAGAGAGGTTCAAGCAGAGGAGTGATATGATCTGATGTATGAGTTTTTAAAAAATTATCTGGCTTATTTAGCATACCAATAAATCGTCTATCCTGGCAATAAATTAATATTATAGTTTTCAAAATATGTTGGGTAGTTTCCCAGAAAAATGCCTTTGGATGGATACACTAAAGTACATGCAGAACGATTTAAATAGGTGGCTTTATAATTTTGTAATTTCCAAATTCAGAAGTTCTGTTACCATTTCATCAAGTTAATAAAGAATGGAATCTCTTTCTTTATAATCCATGATTTTAGATAGTTTGAGTTTATGGAGTAAAGTTTCCAATTTACATTTCAGTTCCTGCAGATACCAAGCCTGGAATTATAGAACTGAGGGTTTAGATAACCTAACCCAGAATTCTAATTGTACACATGAGAAATTTTCTGGTCTTGGCAAAGATTACAAAGCTAGGAAGAGATGGAGCCTGGATTATAAACCATGTACTAGATGCTCCAGATATGTCTGTTGGACTAAAATATTATATATATGTATATATAATGCTCTTTCATGCATATAGACAGATAGATGATAGATAGATAGATAGATAGATAGATAGATAGATAGATAGATAGGTGATAGATAGTGACCGTTACTTTTGCATCAAAACCATTCACATTATTGCAGTTTATCACTGATCACCAGTGCAGTTTATGATTCTTTCTCCAGGTTATTTGGACGTGGGCGAATTTTCTTCCTATTTATTCTTCAATTCTCAAAATATACCTGTTCCTTTGAAATTCATAATCAGCAGAGGGAGCTAACACATTATTAATATCTACAAAATCATTGACATTTGAGTATGGGACAGTTAGTTTCTATCCGCAGCTCATTCCAGTCAGAGTCGTCACATGTCCTGTTCTGTTCATCTAAGTCATCAGTGGTTCCAATATCAGCTTTGGCAAAGCAGTTGTGGATTATTTCTGAGGTGTCTATCCTACATAGCAACGGAATTTTTCATAACATCGAGAACATACCATTTCTTTACATCTGCGATAGAACAATGCTTCTCATAATGTACCAAGCAATTACAGCATCCAACTTTTGATGATCTATTATGTCTCAGTCTAACGGCTATGCATAGCCATGGTGTTGGTAGGCAAAAACAAAAACAAACAAACAAACAAACAAACAAAAAACCAAATGAAACCAACAGACCTGTTTTTATTTAAACCTCCAGTGTCTGTGTGCAGCTATCACATTCTGGTAAGCCATTTTCCTCTCTAATTGCAGGAAGCATTTCCCAAACAACCTGCCAGATGTCAGTGCATTTTTGTTAACTTTATATACACAAAGGAAAGTTGTATATATAAATGGAGTTTTCAAATTTCCATATAAGTGATTCTAATTTCTTGCTCCTCTTAACACTGTAAAAAAAGGAAAGCTGATGAACCATCTTTTCATACATATTTATTTTTCTACAGGACAACATTCTTCTGTCAGAGTTTGCCTCTGGTTTGTTTGCAGATTATAGAGGTACATAGATGTGCCCACATGGGAGAATCTATTCAGATTTAGCCTCCGATTTTCGAGACAATCTTCAGCTGAGTTATTGTGGATACGTCACTTTTTTAGGCAAAGTGACATGATATTGTGATAATGTTGAAAGTGTTGTTGCCAACCATAAAAAGTTGACATCAACTCCCGTTTGGAGAGCAATTTCATTAGTCTTTTCTAAAACCCAATGAACATCCAGATATAGAAATATCTGCTCCAGTCTGTCAAAATTATTTAAAAGTTTTATTTACTAATTTGGCATATTTTGCTCCTTTCATTCTGTTAT